CGATACTTAACGAACAAGTTGTCCTCAGCTAATACCGGTAATTTTTTAATGATGTTAATCAACCTACTTTTCTGTTGAATATTTTACAACTGCTGCAATGATCTTATTGTTGGTGCTGTTAAGAAAGTCTATAAAACACGTATTAATAACGATATACTGAAATTACGTTTAAAAATCACTTTCTGGGTTACCAAGTGACCGTGTTGTGACGTCACAGTGTCGTTCAGATGTTATGATGAATCAGCCTGTTTTAAGCAAACTAGGGGTAGAGAGACATGACATGTTCTAGTTTCCATGTCGTCATAGCGACGGACATATTAATGATAATAATACGTAGTGTGTACGTAACAATTGCCACAAAAAATACCCAGACCTCCCATTTACTCGTTTCCGTTGGTGGCTGACATATGGAATCGTGTAATGGTTTTCAGTAAAAGGAAAAACACTGTGTTGATTCGCTATATTGACTGCCATCTTTAACCATTTAATGTTGGGCAACTTTGATTCTCCGTTCACGGTCTTCAGTAGAGCCTCATAACGTTCTTGTGTCAAAAGACTTATATTTTTTATTATCATTACGTTTAAACAAGTTTTAAATTGCAGTAAGAACATGTTTCATCAGGTTTAAATTTCAAAAACAAAAATGTTAAACCAAGTTCACATTCTTTTGTAATAATATGCTCTACAACGTATTAAATCTGGTAATGATTCTATCTCATGTGACACCAAACAACTAACATGCTGATTCATCAATCTCTGAGTTCAACTGTCACTGACCTCCCACCCATCATCTTTAACTCATTTTTACTGATAGATTTTTATCTACATTGAGCTTCAAACTTGTTACCATATTTTGTCTTCCGGCCTTTTATCTCCGACTTTAAGATTTTTGTCTCCCCCTCCCTACCATCTTCATACCACACATTCTACATTCAATATACCTGCTAATTTTCACTGAGGATTTTGCCATAATTATTCATATGTTTCAATCAGTATAACTTCTGCGTATCATTCTGTTTCAACTCCAAACAGCTAGTTTGATGGGTTTTTTTAATATCGTCACCATACGTTCAATTTTCTCTAATATGTATTTAGTTATCCTTCCCGACAAACACTTAGTTTTCATTAAATTACCGTGACACTTTCCCCCTATTTCTACCTATTAGCTCGGGGCGATGTTGGGTCGCTCTTGTTCCTGCGCAGCAGACTGTAGTGTAACAATGGAACGAAAATTTGGTAAAGACGATAAATTTGATTAATTTTATATAAACATTAAGAAACATTAGTGAATGTATCGTCTTTTAGTTAGCGTAGACAAGTTGATGAAATCATGTGCCGTTTTGTGTACGGATTTACCTTGTCAGCTTCACATGGTTAAACCATAACCTATTTTCATCCAAAATATCATCAGAACAACACTTTTTATTAATAATCAACATTTCAAATATTAAAATGTATATCATCTTTTGCCAAAAACTAGAATATTAAATGTAAATTTGAATATCCTTTTAATGATGTCGATTTGAATGTTTGTTTCCTTGTAGGTGACTAGGCTTTGAACAGCTGGGCACCATGGCCTTTACATTTTGTTGTGTTATCCTGTTTGTCATCGGTATTAGTGGTCACTTATTCCGAACATCAATACCCGCCAAAGATCTCGGACACGATAACTGGCATTGGGCTGGACATTAATTGTCCGAGACAAAGTAACCACAAATTGGATTGTAAACGAACCCATACCCTAATTCTGTATCCCTGTAAATGCCATCTCATACTAGCTAGAGGCAGGAACTTTATCTGATTAAAATATATGTAGCTTAATATAAAATATCACTTATCAGCTATGTTTTACAATAAATATTGAATCGTGAAACGTTGATGAGATTTGTGAATGGCGTCCGATTTCCGTACAGTATATTGCCAACAATAGCAGATTTAACAGGTATTTGATCCAAATCTTTGTTGTTTTTTCATCAAGTACAAGCACTTTGGCTCCGTGACAGGTGGTGATAGAGAAATCTCTTATCATCTGATTACCGGGCTATATATTGACGTTATCATCACTTAACATGACACCGATTCATTTTCCATGACTAAAGAAAACATATATACGCTTTAGCCGTATAAATAACAAACAATAGTTTTTCTTACTAGTATGACACCTCCAAATTAAACACGATACAAGTTTCATTACTTCTGACACCCAGTAAATTATGTGTACCAGGTTTTACGTTTCCTGTGAATGTTTTGACAATTGACTTCAACCACAGGATTTTACCACCTCCCTCTGTTTCTGTATTCTAGAGAAACTGTCCGTCTTAGCTCAGTTATCAAATCTGCATATCGTAAACTATGTTTCTTGTCATAATAGATTTGTCTCGCACGTGACAGTAAATGCTGCTGCTCTATCACTAACCAAATCGGTACATTTATATTTATTCTTAACGTATATTTAAGCTATTTTGTATAACTTATAAATTTTTCCATGCCCAGGTATGTGCATTTTACAGAACCTAAACGTACATACCATCAACAATATATGAGTTTCATGTAAATGCTTTATTCTATCAATTAACCCAGTATTTACCAAATAAATTAATCGCCTGATACCATATTACTGTAACATGCCAGATTATCAAATGGTTGATCTGTAACCACGTGTACTTCTCTTTAGTGTGAAGACATAATACACTACCGTATATCGCATGGCCAGTATGAACTACTACTATTATCGCTGTGTTTTAGTATAAAGACTTGTGCCAAAATAACTGTCAATATTAAAGGTTCTTCTTCGTCGCTAACTAAACTAGATAAATAGATCGCGAGTCTTTCAATCCTCAAGTATTCTCTTAATATGCCTTTTACCAGGATCATATAATTGATACAAATCCATTCGCTAGCATTTTCAAGCTCGGCTTCCTTTGTAATATTGTGACATGTATATATATAATATTGTATATCTTATATACTCTTAAATTAATCTTTATCTCGCTACTGTTTTAAATGCGTGGAATGTAGGTAAAGTTACTCTATACACACATAAAACTGAACAGCTACCATTAGCGAAACTGGTAACATCTACCTGTTATCGCGGAATCCATAACGGAAGTTGATGAAAAATGACACATGAAACTTAAATTTTTGATAACAATATTGAATTGAGAACACATTTATTTGTTTTGTTATTGGAGACATTTTATTTGGCGATGTATATGAAATATATACAAATTAGGTATTTACAGAGAGTATAGAATCGAGCACAACCCTGAAGGGGCATATTGGGGCATAAATGACAAAGAGAATATCCTTAATATTCAGTATAATTATCATAGTAAATACTAAAAATGTAACATTATCACGTAATGCGATTTCTGTTCATGCCGCTTTTTCTGAAGTTATAATGACGTGTATCGATTTTGATCGATATTGAATTTATTATCGTGGATATTCTGTTGGCCATATATGCCCGGCAAAACAATAAGGACAAATTGAGATACAAATGTATACTATTGATAAAATATGATTATATGTATCAGCACACATAATGTACAAATGTACATAGACAAATGTAAATTTATATGTTCCTGTGACTGATCCAGTCAACTTAAACACAAAAAGCCTTACTGAATCTTAGTCCACGACAGCGATTTTCTGTACACCTCTTCATTTCAAAACATATCTTAATCACCTTTGTCGACAGATACAACCGTATGGTTCTCGCGCTAACGCCACGACCTGTGCATTACTATAATATGTTTGTTTTAATTGAACCATGTAAAAAGAGCGATGTATGATATTGTATATCATTATATCGTGAGTTCAAAATTCGAAAAGATTCATAGATAAATAGAATCCACCAAATGCAATGTATCTGAAATGTGAATTGTTAATTTGTTAAAGCGTAGGACAGTTTAGCACTGGGTACAATGTGGAACGTCTGTCTATATATGCTGTACCAACATAATAGGTCGGGGGACACAAGAAGTACATCTACCAAACTCCTACCGTAATGATCTAAATTAAAATTTAGACTTAAGTCATTCTTTTGATTCACTGGCCTCTAACAAACAGCTTAGTTTGGAAGTGAATTGTCATAGAACATTTTCTATTGATTTTCAACCTAATCCTCTTTCAGTTACGTTATACTACACTGGGTTACATCTCCCTTTCTTGCGTATTAACTGAAATAAGAAAAGTTTTTTTTACTGTATTCGTGATAATTTCTTCAAATAATCTCTGTTTTATTTGCATTTGTTCACACTAGGTCAAACAATAAATATATTACTTGTTTTATACATCAATTACACCGAGGGACGAACATTCAGACAAAACAAAAATAACAAACAGAGCACAATATCTATATATCAACCATCCAGTTCTCTTCCAGTATGTTATATACAGTAGACTAACTCGCATTATAACTAATGTATTTGTCGACCTCGTTATTACAAGTTCCTTTTTGTCGACCTTGATATTTCAAGTTGCCTTTTGTCGACCTGGTATTTCAAGGTCCTTTTTATCGACCTTGACATTTCAAGTTAACTTTTGTCGACCTTGATATTTCACGATATTTGAAGTTAACTTTTGTCGACCTCGATATTTCAAGTTAACTTTCGTCGACCTCGATATTTCAAGGTCCTTTTGTCGACCTTGATATTTCAAGTTCCCTTATATCGACCTCGATATTTGAAGTTCCCATTTGTCGACCTTGATATTTCAAGTTAACTTTCGTCGAACTTGATATTTCAAGGTCCTTTTGTCGACCTTGATATTTCAAGTTCCTTTTTTTAACCGTGTTATTACAAGTTCATTTTTGTCGAACTTGCTATATAAGTCACGCGCAGTCGAAATTCCCTGTTGACGCCTGAAGTAAGTTCTGTGTGAGCACGTAGATATACGGAAGCACATATTATTTGAAAACTTACCTTGTATTCAAAATGCTTCCGAGAATAATATATCTTTCACATTGCCCTAACACCAGCAATACGACATTCAGCGGAAATACCAAGTCTTTGGCGTGGTTTGGTAAGCCACATTCACGTTAGATCATATTCATAAACATTCTTTATGCAAAATATATCTATATAAAAATGAAGATGGCGAACATCCGGAGGGAAATATCAATTAGAACTCGGCAAACAAACACACGGCTTGTTAATTGCAGAAATGCATTTCCACGACTCGGGAACATTTCTTACAGTCTATCCTGCAACACCAGACAAATTTACAATGACAGTTTTCCTTAATTTCCTTGACGATTGTGAGGTATCCTCGCCCACAGCACATGAGTGTGCAGCCGTCGAGGCCATAACTGTCCTTGCTGCACTGTCGCCCGCGCGTGCCCAGCGACCCATACTTGGCGTCAGCGTTGCAATAGTCCGGTGACTCCTCAAGATATACTAAATCCTTTTTCGTCGGCTTTTTCATATCCTGTGTTATTCGCTTTAACTTTCTGCGTTTCTTATTAATTTTTACGAGACTTGCGCCGTCAAATTTAGCCTTCAATTTGGCGCCAATTGTCCGGAAGCTCTTCATTTTGCGCCAGCAGACTTTCACTGTACATGTTGCAGAAACTCCATGACATTTACACAGAAGTTCCATTGATGTCTTAACCGTCTGAAAAGAAACGGAAATTAAACATCAGAAAAATGATTGGAGATGTCGAAAACTTTGACTTAATCCAGATCATCCTACAATTTACGTGTACTGTTGAAATGTTAATCTACGTGAATTGTTCGGTTGAGGATAACCAAAAAGCTGTAAAACATCATAAATCCATGCGGAATTGACTTATCTTTGACAAGAAATTTAAACACGACGTGTTTTAAGTATACCTACCCTTCTGCCGGCCTCGTTATTCCAAAGATTCATTAATCCAGACTCGTCAAGGTTTTTCTCGTTTGCATCAACGAATTCTTTGGAAAACTTTGCTCCATATTTAGTATTTTCTGAGCAACCTCCCCATTCAAAGTCCTCACCGGACTTTCTCCATCTGATCTTGTCGTCACAGCCACAGTGATCGAGGTCGCCACGTGCACACCCGCGCGTGACGCTGTACATGACACCGGCTGACGAAATAGCGTAGATATAGGCAGTCTCTCGGCTCTCTGAAAGGAACAACATCGAATATGTACAGATACATGATTATAGTCCTTTACAGTCATCCTTTGAAGAATAATGTGTCGAAGTTTAATCCTGGTAAAATACTAGCAGCAGTGTATCGCTGAGATCTTCTCTATAGCTCAGTCAGTATATCGTCAGACCAGTAAACCAGAGGTCGTAGGTTCGAATCCTAGCAGAGGTATTGTGATAAATAATGACCTCTGTTAAACTAGTATATGTTATTAGTGACAACAAGAGCAAGAAGAGAAGACTGGTTACATTAAAAACATACGTCATGCATTTACAAATATACCCTCTATCAAAATCTGCTAATCATTTTTGCCTCGAAAAACAGAAGAGTACATTCTTATAAAAGTTGTGTAATACGAACTGGAGGGTATCTTCACCGCGTCATCCAGTACAGAAGATCTGTATCCGAACATCTCTATTTTCGGTTTGACATATTTATATATTCCCTGTCATGTTAAAGAATTTAAGTCTGTGTGTCAAGATTACGTATGATGCATATAAATGCCAACGGTAAATGAAAAGACAGACATGATTGCTTTGGAAGATAAAATATACAAGTGTCTTTATTGATCACGACACTTACATAACCTACAGGAAACGCTCACGTAATAAGATGTCTGGTCCTGCTGCTGTAAAGGCGGCACTGACCTGGTTACGCCCATTCCAAACCCAACAGATGGTGGGTGCTATTTCGGAACAAAACACTAGCCATGACTTTGTGTATGTAAAACCCCTCTCCGCCCTTGGTTGTCATATTGTCATATTTCTTAAATTGGTCTACCTAAAAACATTTCTTCCCTTAAGAACATTTGATTTTTCTGCTCTGTACACACCATACACAATTCTAAATTGAACGAATGCATTCGTTGTCTTGTTATGAGAGGCTTCTTTTCGAACAAGAAAGAATAGCGGTTGTGAGCCATACTGAAGTGTTTCGTGATAAATACGTCCAAACAAATATAACAGAAAAAGGGAGGACAAAACCATAAAAAATTGAGTATCTGGATGACAATATATCTGTTTTAGAAAAAACGTGTACTTATTGGAGATGGAAAGATATTTTAGTACTTATATATCATGTAACACACATCTATTACAAAGCAGACCCTCAGTAGACAAATGTCAATGAAGCCTTGCGAACACACACAATCACGCCATTTGACTTTAGCAAAACGAATACAGATATTTGGACTTGTTGATTTAAGTAGTCTTGTCTAAAAGTGCACCAAGCTTTACAACTGGGTCCTGTGCGACAGGTTGATTGATGCACATCAGTGTTACGTAGATAACAAATGCACACTCTTGTGAACTCCCGCGCTTCCTACCGACACCCTGCATCAGTCATCCATGGAAACATTCACACAAATATAGGATTAACACAGATTACCGTGGACTCTTATCCTGTTTAAATTCAATTAAACTTGTAAACGGAAGTTTACATGGTGCTACCGATGCCGATGGTGCGCAAATGTAGGAGATTTACGTGTAATTTACGCGTAACGTACCGTAAATGGCCGTTTGCTTAAAGGAATGCAAGACAGAATTGTGTTTTACTGCAAAAGTGCGAAACGTTCTACTTTAATTATGGTTTTCTTCGAGATTATTGAAGAGTTATAATTTTATTGCATAATTTATGTTATTAATCTATTACCTGTTACAATTTACCAATAATATTCCGTCACATTTTTCACTAATCGCTTAGTTGAGATCCGTTGTCTCTTGAACTACCACCGACCGATGTTTGATCTGTGACATCAACCTATCATATTCAACTGTATACACTTACTGATTCGGAGGACTTTGCCGAAGACGCTGGTATTATTGTAGGTGGAACAGTTCCAGCGGCGGGCAGAGAACTGGTGTTGACATTCCGAGATGCCCATGGACGCTCCTCGACTCACGATACTAATAAGTCTACTTTCGTGCTCACATAATTCCTTTTGGCGGGGGTTGAGGAAAGCCAGATTGGAACATCGTGATCCCTGGTCTGATTGCTGCTCCGGGACTTTGTTTCCTGTGAGTGGATAATGGCTGGTCGGCGATGAACTCAGAATTGCTAAGTACCTGTTGGAATAGGAACAATATCGTGTCACAATATGTACAGTACCAACTACTTCTCATCAGAGAAATTACATGATATCTTGTCAAAATAATACATGATTTGTACATAACATAGTACATACAATTTACTATAACTTTGATGCTTATTTATCCACCGTAAGGTTCTCTAAACACTTTATTTGCTTATGGTAGAGGGCGTATTTCAATGATAGTTGTGACATTTTTGTTTGAGCACATCACCAACATGTGGATTACGTAGAGTAAAGATTTCAGGGTACAGACGTGACAAGACATACAAAAAGGGGTTGGGCTGGTATGAATAACTGCAACTAATGGACTATCTATACATATATTACGAGAATTTTCTGTTAATGGCACCGTCAGAGAAGAGCACAATATGGCTGTCAGACAATACCGACCCTTGAGATGAGTAAACTAAATGTTTTCTCAACTGATTAAACTGTTTGACGCTATAGAACGCCGTAACTGGCGTTTCAAGGGTATGAAACCAACTCCGCTATCGCTCAACTTTAGACCAAACAAAGCGTGGCGGAAGTTGGAGGGATGTCAATACGGGAGTGTGAATTCACGTTTACCTTGTCATCGAAAAACTCTCACGTACACAGCATTCGACATTTAATCTCATTCATTCAAATCTTGAAATAAATTGGATTTAATTATTAAGTACCGATGTGCACGTAATGGTTGTAACGGTACGTTTTTGTTATCGGATCCCAAATTTTCTGGTCAATTCTAATTCAATTATACACACGTGTTATCGCGTTTAGCCATTGGAAATAGGGTAAGCGGGTGTTGAACGTGTTCATGGATAATTGTCTTATTTACAGATTGCTAGAAAGTTAAAAGAAAACCTACCAGACAGACAATGATGTAAAACCCCCTGAACTTAGACAATGAAACACGACTCTAATTTCGAGGGAATTACTCTATTAAGAACACCGGTTGAGTTTGAAGCATTAAAATGCTGAAATGCGTGACGACTTTGACAAAACTTAACCGTATCATGTTTTGTTTTACTGCTTAATACTAGTCACTGAATCGACACACACGTAGTTTATGGACCTGAAACAGATGGCGACTTCGTGTATCAATGAGATAATTTTCACCATTCGACTTAGGAAATTTGACAAGAGCACGCCCCGTTTGGGAGTAAAACAATACCCCGTCCATGCGTGACGTTCTCTGACTGTCGGCGTAACGCTATCGTACCGCCATCAAACAATCCTACGTAAAACAAACACCTCAACTCATGCCAGCCTTACTCTGACCCACGGCAAAGACCGGAAAATGGATCCTCTCCGAAGTTGATAGATAAAATATACCACCTTCAAAGATATATCAAATTACCCAGGCGAGAAGGGATGAGATTATATAGTTTGGGATGGGTAGGATATATATCATTCACGGACAGTTGTCTTGAGCCTTAAAAAGTACGGCACTAATCGTTGGAAACGTCGTGCAGTTTGTCTTTGATTGCTGGAAAGCCACGAAAATGCATATTTCCCAATAACAATAAAACCAGAAATTAACACATTTATGCTTCAATAAGGGCAGAAAATGACTACACGCCTTTATTCCAATTAAGGCAGAAAATAAATACGCACCTATGTTTCAATAAAGACAGAAAATGACTACACGCCTATGTTCCAATAAAAGCCATGGACACATCTGTGTTCCAATATTTATCACATGAAAAATGATATTTCATGATTTCATAATACATCCCTTCATTTGGCAGTTTTTGGTAAAACCAAGAAAATCTGAACCATAGACTAAAAGCACCATTTGTCTAGAGCCATATCATAAAGTCACAGACAACCCTCTATTCCAATACTACTAATGTAAGCATGCCTGTGGTTTTCTTTGTTACACCCGTCACGTTGTCGTTTAACTGGGAGTGTCACATCATTACAGTACCAATGAAGACATTCTACGATGACGCGAAAGATACGAAACGTCGATAATTTTTAATGGTAAAAGTTAATTGTTTAAAAATATAAGAAATATCTACCGTTTGTCTGGCGTTTCGTTTTTAATGGTTTCTACATTTATGTAGTTAGTGAAATACAGAAGAACCCGACATAGTTCTGGGTGATGTGCAGCACCATATACAGCAGGCTGATTAGCACAGAGCCATTTTTATATGTACCTAGATACACGGTCAACACCATAAATAGACAGATAGTGGGTCATACAGACAGACATGTCCACTGGAGGCGACGATTTACGACACAAACATATCCCAATACATGGAAAATGTCATTTCACATTATACAGGTTCAGTTTGAGACTGGCAAATGCCTTAATTCCTTTGATTCCGTGTTTACTGACAAAAACCGACTTCCTGTCCAAGTAACTATATTATAGTATATATGTATTACGTAAGTAATGGTATGTTTGTTGAGCAAAAGCCTTTTTTGGTCTGATCTCTGACATTTCTAGATAAATTCTTTATATAGTGTTAAGCCGTTAAAACAACGTTTCTGGATTAACATTACACAATAATACCAAGGCTTAGAAGGAAACACGAATCTATCGCGAACGATAAAACATCCAATGGCCTATATAGATAAGGGCTCTTAAAAACGAAAGCTGATTACTAGATCAGGAAAGAACATCAAACTGCTTGTTTCGCGTCATTTAAATAAGATTTGAGTACAATTGATCTTTCTACCTCCCGGTAAAAAGAGTGCTTCACGTATTCCAATAGCGCCCTCTTGACCTTCCGGTTTGTTTTTGATCTCCATTTACAATAGATAGAGTAGTGCCTCAAGTTTGAAGAGGTCTTAAGTTTAAACTTATTTTACGTGGCTTTGAATAACTTTGGCGTATTTTCGGTATGATAAAGGACAACCATAAAGAAGATATCTTCTTATTCAAATAACCAACTCGGTGTCACAACGCTCTTCTTTTATTGAATTTACAGCTAAAAATCGTTTTAAAAGTCATTAATCTCATTAGTGAGCATAATTTAGACATACCAGAGTTGATTTATACCAGAACAGGAATGTATTCATCGATAATTGGAAACAAATAATCATATTGGAGGAAAAGAAAACTGAATTATCATGAATTATTGACGGTAAGTAAATATAGTCTTAGTATAAATACACCAGTACAACTCGGACAGGCAGGGACGATGGGACGTGGGCTGTCAGGGACGATGGGACGGCCAGAGACAATGGGACGTGGGTTATCAAGGACAATAGGACGGTCAGGGACAATGGGACATGAGCTGTCAGGGACGATGTGACGTGGGCTGTCAGGGACGATGGTATATGGGCTGTCAGGGACGATGGGACATGGGTTTTCAGGGACGATGGGACGAAGGCTTTCAGGCACGATGGGACGTGGGATGTCAAGGCGATGGGGACATTGAATGTCAGGGCGATGGTTGTCAGGGACGATGGGATTTGGGCAGGACTGTGTTAGTGACCCTTAACTTATAATCTGAAACTAACTTGTAAGGAAGTTACTTGTATTAAATTGTGTTAAGATTGGCTATCGAATTACCATTCTCCGCTCCCTGCTCATAGCGGTTTGTGATTCTCAAGGAATTGGAAAACGGACCGGTATCCTCGTATCATTGGACAAAATAGTCTACACTAAATGCTGTGTATGACGTGCGAACAGCATTCCTTACGTTGTTCAATGAGGAAGTCACTAACTACTACAAGGAGACCAGCCTCTAGATGGCCTTGGCTGTTCATGGGGTGATAAATGCAGCAAATAAATCTGGATATTATATGGTAGTCTACAAGTTTTGTGATTTACACTCTTAATAGACACGTCATTATTTCTCCAGACTAACATTATCGACTTCAGTCTAAACAAGACTCTCGTCATTGTTATTTATAATCTAGTGAACTCCGTCTAACAAGTCTAGTATATACCGTTATTAATCAGCCTCTCCTATCACACCACATATCATCACACCTAGAACACTGTGAAACAATATTATGTATAACTGTAGTTTATTTTTTTGTTTTTTGATTGGGTTTTTATCGTGATCAATGTCGATGTTAGCAGTTGCTCGTTTTTTTCCACTTGGTTGCTTGTTTTTGTTGTAAATAACCTGTGACTAATGTTCTTGCTGTGTTACCCTAAACCTGTGATGTCCAACTCAATCAGGCCAGCGATGCGGAAGTGCTAATTCAGTTTGACATTTATCGTGTTCTTGCACCTGCAAAGTTTTCCTCCTGTACAGAGTAAGGTGATTTTTGCAGAACAACTTCTAAATCGAAAACAGCATGGATATTTTTTTCAGTTTATCAAATAAAAAGTTAAATTTAATTAAAGAACTGACGTTTTCTTTAAAATCTAAAACCTGAAATTATCCTGTAAAAGTACAGTTGTACTAGAATATCAATGTTACCATGGTAACAGGATAAGTAACTTTTGTCGGTTATTTATCCGATGATTGACTTAATAATGTAGACAAATTCATACCGATTATGTAACAAGTATTTATGTAAAAAATACTGTTTACCGCATAAATACTTGGAAACTGGATTTTTGAATTTAGTTAGACAGTAAAGTTGGCGGAGCCTGCCTCATATGATGAGAAATATTTCTTCAATGGCGCCATTTGATTGTTGGTTTTTTTTTCATTGTGGTACAGAATCGTCCAATTTTTGATTTTCTGAGTCCAATGCCGACCTGAAGATTACCGTGGTCATTAACGGTCAACAAAAGGACCCTAAGATACTCCATCGACGATTGTTGACAGATACTCTCTAACAGAAACCATAACAATGGTTTTAGATTGGGGTGTTAAGAAGATCCCGGCAACACTTTCAATTCTGTCAACAGAAACGTGTGCAAGTGTTTGCAAGGTGTTAACTGGAAATAGGATCTCGGGCACATTTTCTCGGAAACGGAAAAGTAATTTCCGTCCACGTGTTTATCCAGTGAAATGTATCTTAAATTGAACATGTGGCATTCAGTAAGCAGAGACACGCAGACAACGTATCACATGTTAT